AATACACAGCCCAAGCTCCTCTTATTTGACCTGAGACATTATCTTTTCGTAGAGCTTATGACCTGCTCATTTGGGTTTGTAGACCTTAAATATGACGGAAAGCCTTGAAGCCACAACCTGCAGTCTCACAGTCAGTCTTCTATCCCTCTGAGCCATCTGACCTGAGAGATAAACCTTTCATTTGGTAAACTCATTCTCAACTTGGGGTTGGAGATTTTGAAAACTCGTGCTGTTCTTCATTTTAGGTTGTTGGACTTTAAAAGTCACTGCTCCTCAGAAGACTTGAACTCACAGTCTTCAAGTCTTCAGACGTGTCTGAGCCCTGTTAATGTTTTATGTGCTGTTTTAGATGCTAAACATTGCCACACAATTTTTGCAATCAGTGATTTTGGTTTTTAAAACGTCTGTCACTATTTACCGCTGACCGTAGTGTTTAATTCGTAGGTTTTTCATTGCTATAACTTCACTGTAGCTGTGCATATGATGATGCCAGGGGGGAAATTCCATCACACTGCCCCCTACTTCACCCAATGACATTCTCCCAGAAGTATTGCGTCCTTACCTTGGTGCAGTAGAGCATCCAGACCTCGTACAGTCTCTCCTTGGATGCCATGTTGCTTTAGTGTCACTTCTCCAGCTGCTTCATGGTTTTCAGTCATGAGCTAAACCCCCACCGCTGACCTCCAATGTTCAACATCATGGCAAAGGTGAAACACTCCTTCAAAAGATGCCAAGGAAACTTTCCAAGAATGATTCCATGGCACAGGATTTGGCGCAGTAATTCCACTTCTGTAGATCTTCCCAGAGAACCAGGGGGTGATTCCCAGCAGTGTTTGCACTATCAATGACAAACACAGACAGTTACTAAACATGGAGGCGGATGTTTTGCCATAAAAATACAATATCGTGAGAGTTTTGGTCATCCTGAGGGTATTATTAAAGCAGTCTTCGGGGTTCGTACGGGTGCTTGAAATCCTTGAAAATGCTTGAAAATGTACGTGGTGTTTTCAAGGTTGGGAAAGTGCTTGAATTTTGGGAATGGTGCTTGAAATTGAGATAAAGTGCTTGAAAATGTAAATGCTTTACTTTTACAATAAATTGCTGTCTGACTGAATAGTTCGCTTTTTAGATTAAAAGAAAAAGAATTGCTTCTACATAAAACACCTCCGTTGTTACGTGTGACCTGGGCATTCTGATGAGTGATAGATGACTGTGTGCCAGGAGGTTGCAGTTTCAACGAGCGTTGGCTAGCAGAAGACAAATACAAGCCATGGCTAAGACGAGGGTCAAGCCCACGAGTAGCCTCCTGCAAAGTTTGCAAAAGTAACGATGCGAGAGTCTGCGCTGACGAGCCACATGAAAGGTACGCCGGAGAAGAGCATTTTAGATTAGGCTAACGTTGCATGTTACGTTTGTTGAAGCTAACGTTAGTGAGCTGAATAGCGAACTCTATGAGGGATAATAATAATTGCAGGGGACAATCATTTCAGAGGAGCGTACCTATGTTATGTGCGTTACAGTCGCCATCGTGTGGTGTTCAGAGGATGAAGCTCTCACGGCATTTCGTGTTATAGTCACGAAATATAATCTCTTGATTCGACACAGAGCGATTTTGAAAGCAATGTATTTCTACTGGTAGTATGTTTCGTGCCTAAACCAAATGTGACTTGCTCTCTCGAAATCAGTCACATTGACCCGAAGACACATTTTCGTTTGTATTACTGGTCTGGGGGAAGCTCGCGAGTGTGTGTGTGTGTGTGTGTGTTTGTGTACCGGGGAAACACTTACAAGAAACACCGGCGGCTGTTATGCCTGCTGTGATGTTAAGTTACTCCGTTCTCTGCTTGTAATTATGCCGAAGCTTCAAAGTTGTATTTATCATCTGAATTTGCCGAAACAAGTTTAATATTCTGAAAGCCAAGACTTTGTTTATTTGAAAACAGATGAAAACAAACTGTCTTTTATATAAAATTGAAGTATTATACAAGTAAAACTACATTTTGCTTTAATCCCATGTAATTGTAGAATGAACACAGTCTTCCTTTGAAGATGTATAAGTCAGGTGTCTTGAGTAGCATTACCTACAAGTCATTGTACACATTTGTAAATATTATTTCCCACTTGTTACCATTGTGAGTCTATTTTTATGCAGCTCTGCGTGATTTTGTGGCTACAATTCAGGCTAATACGCTACTAGAGGTGGAATAAGTACTCAGATATTGTACTTGAGTAAAAGTACAAGTACTCAGATCTTGTAGTGAAATTATAAGTACTCAGATCTTGTACTTAGTAAAAGTAGAAGTACCAGAGTGTAGGAATATTTTAATACTATTTACAGTAAAAGTCCTGCATTCAAAATGTTCCTCAAGTGAAAGTAGAAAAGTATTCTCATCAAAATATAGTGAAAGTAGCGACAGTAAAAGTAGTCGTTGTGCAGATTGGTCCATTTCAGAATAATATATATGATATGTTTTATAATGATTGATCATGAAAGTGTTCTCAAAGCTGGTGAAGGTGCAGCTAGTTTGAATGACTTTGTATACTGCAGGGTAGCTGGTGGATTTACTCCAGGTGGAACTAAAGTCTAATTCAACACTTGATTAGATTTCACATCATTCATCCACATCTGTGAAGTAACTAAAGGGATTAAATACATGTAGTGGAGTAGAAGTACACCATGTACCTCTGACTTATGTTTACTGCCAACCTAAAAGTACCTCAAAAATAGTAATCAATAATGTATTGAAAAGTTATTTGGCTGATTGTTTTATATTGGCTCAGACAGGTTATATGGGAGGCCTAGTCTACGTACAGGTCACTCATTTTGAAATATTAAACTTAGTTTTCTTTTCTTTAATTTTTCATCCTCATGTAGAAGGCTATCACGAAACACACATTTGGTAGTTTATAGCATAAAGAACATCTGATTTAATGTGAGGTAGGGAAATAATCATTTGAGTATGTGTATATAAATATGTAATTTACAACAGCTGTAAGATGCTTGAAAAACTGGAAAATGCACCTTGAAAATGCTTGAAAAGTGCTTGAATTTGACTTTGGAAAAGGTGTAAGAACCCTGAGTCTTGCCTTGTCCTTCAATTTAAATGTTTGGGTGTGGATTTTTTTGGTTCCAAATATCAGTAAGATCTTGCACTCAGGATTTAACCGTCTACTTTGTATATATATATGTTTTCATACAACTACTACTGCAAGATACTTCCAACTACAAACTTTTATAACTCAAACCAGGAAAGAAAACCCATATTGTTTCACACTATCATCCCTCTATACTAGTTGGGATTTATTTAAGGGAACAGCAACTAGACCCAGGCTTTTTGTGTGCAGCTTTTTGCACAAATTGTTTTAAATATCTTGTCCAAATCGTATTGTTATTATTAATATGTTTACCCGTGTCTGGATGCCGGCCAGCGAGGCTCTCTTCAGGCCCTGAACTCCAGGTCTGTTGGAGATAACGAGCACGATCTCTGCGGAGCTGGACGGACGGCCTGTTCGTGCCTGGGGCAAAAACAAAACGTAGGATTTTAAAAACAGCGAGTCTTTTATAAATTCATGATAACTTTTATATTTAACCATAAATCGTCTTTGGGACCAAATTGATGTGGCTATGGAAGAGGAAAAACAAAACGAGGTGAGTTAAATGCTTAATCTGCCTTTAACGTAACCACCTGGCTGGCTACTCGTTAAGCTAATGCTAACAAAACAATGTTATCATATATAGTTAAATTACATTGTCATTGTTGCACTTCATAGCTTGTCATTTTTCGTCATGAGTTAATTACTCTCACATTAATAATTGTTCTTCTGTTTTCGTTCGTTTAGATTAGCTCAGTTAACTTAAAAACGAAGCTAGCAAGGATGCTAACTTGACCCATTATCCTTGATAACCTTGGAAATTAGCTAAAGAGAAGCACTTGGTGCATACAGATTAGATTTGTGTCTGTAAAACTGTTAAGGGAGTAACATAACGAGCATAACATATAACATAGCATATATATATATATATAACATAACATGGCGCGCCGCTGTGTAGACGGGCCGTTAACTGTTACTGTGTATGCCAAGCTAACGTGCAGAAATGCTACAAAAGTTGGTTTTGTCAGGGTAAGGTGAGATACAAAAAGATACATAATGACTGAAAGAGTGACACAGTGTACAGAAATGAATATTTAGCAGCAATAAGATACAGTAGGTCATTTGTAACCTCGTGGATTGTATCTGCTGGCTGCACGTGCATCAACCTAGTCTGATTTACATAGCATTTAGCTGACGCTTTTATCCAAAGCGACTTACAATAAGTGCATTCGACCAGGAAGATACAAACTTGAAGAAAACAGAATCATGAAGTACATCAGGTTTCATAGAGCCAAACATTTCAAGTGCTACTCAACTGGCTTTAGATAAGCCAGTCCTTTGTTAGTATATAAGTGCTCTGTTAGTAATTCTATCGCTCGAAGTGGAGTCGAAAGAGATGAGTTTTCAGTCTGGAAGGTGTGTAAGCTATCTGCTGTCCTGATGTCAATGGGGAGCTCATTCCACCATTTTGGAGCCAGGATAGCAAACCCACGTGTTTTTGCTGATGGGAACTTGGGTCTCGCAGCGAGGGTGCAGCCAGTCGTTTGGCCGATGCAGAGCATAGTGCATGCGCTGGGGTGTATAGTTTAAAAGAGTTTATTATTTTGTTATGTGGACTTCAATGATTGATTGAGAAGTTGCAGTGTGTTGATGTAAAAAGTGTTGCTGATTTTCTTTTGATCTGACATAGAATAACTGACCATACTTGGAAAAAAAATCTTCTTTTTATATAGGCTAAATACAATGGGATTTAGTACTATGTGTCTTTCCCTATATGGTCTTTCCTGACGGGAAAGCTTCACCTCCCATCACATCAAATGCAATAAAAGTCTCCACATGCTGTGCTACAATGTGACCCCTATGTTGTTTCTTACTGGCCTTTTGTCATTGTCTTGTATCCTATAAAGTTCTCATCCTGCTGTCCACCCCAGAAGGGCAGCAGCTCCTCCACCCCTGATGTGTTAGCAGTAGAGAACCAGGGTGACAGTCTGACCTCTTACACCCCTCACCCCGGCACTGTTATCCCCAATCGGATATTCGTCTGCGGAATCGACAACAAGGTGAGAGCTGCAGACTGACACAGAGCCATATCTAGTCCTTTGAATCCTAATCGGAGAACACAGAAGAACAGAAAAGCATGTAAAAAGCCTTGATGAGTGTAAGAGATGACAATAACGCTTTTTTTTTAGCCAACAACTCTACATCTTGCAGATTAAGTTTTAACCAACTTGCATGCAGTTTTTGCAAAGGTGGATCTTGTTTTTTGGTACACCCGAACTCGTACTGGTGGCTTAAGTGTCTGAACCTTAACCAAATCAGCAAACCTTTGTACCTTCTTTGGTGTGATAACGGTCAAAACTGTGTGTGTCTTCATGAAGGTTCGAGCAAGCCTTGATCTGAGCCGGCGTGTTGCGCTGGTCTCACGACATCCTCACGAGGGGAAGCCACAATTTCTGGCTTCTCCTCGAACACAGCTTTATCTGGAAGCACCGGCACAAACACAGGCTCAGACAATGAGACATCAGAGTCACTTTTACTTGCCTGTGCGCGTGTGGGTGCAACCAGGCCAATGCCTTTTGGCGGGTACATATTCTGCCGCTGTTCTTTACGCTGCAGAGCTGCACAGTTGGCGATGACATGTCCAGGTTGGTGACAGTAAAAGCACTCTCTCTCCTCTCTTGTTACATCATCCACATTTGATGGCTGAGTAAATGGTGCGGCAGACACACGGCGGGGTCTATCAGTAAAGACGGGAAAACACAGATTTATGCGTTAACACATACTCATCGGCTAACACAGCAGCAGCAGAGAGGGAATTTACTTTTTGCTCATTTAAGTAAACAACAATGTGCTCAAGCAAACATTTATTAAACTCCTCCAACATGATCAATTCCCTCAGAGAAGAATAATCGGTAGCATTACATGAGGCAATCCACTTAGACAAAAACATTCCCTTTTTCCTGGTAACTCGGCGTGAGTTTGATTAGGACCCTTCCTCTGGTGTCTTCTGCCGATAAGCTTCAGGAACTAACTCATACACCCTGAGAATGGCAACCTTCACTGAGTCATACTGTAGGCTGTCCTCTAACGTGAGAGCCGCAACTGCTTCCTGAGCTTTTCCATATAATTTACCCATTACCATCAGAGCCCAAACTTCAGCCGGCCACCGCAACGCTGTAGCAATGCGCTCGAAGGCACCAAAATAGGCATCCACCTCAGTCTCACGGAAGGTTGGCACTAGCGAAATGTTTTTAATCACGTCAAAGGCAGGTGAATGAGAAGGAGATGATAGGCTTCCTCCGGCATGGTCAAAAGCACCGGATGCGCGCAGTTGTGAGTCTAGCTCCAGCTGACGCATTCTGACTTCCTTGTCTGCCTCTATTTCTAGCCTCCGCACCTCTAGCTGGAACTGTGTCTGCCTGCTCCGCTCTTTATCCGCCGCCTCCAGCTGAAGACGAAGCTCTTTGCCTGTTGCCTCCAGCTGAAGATGTGCGAGACGGACCTTTAGTTTACTCCCTTCCCGAGAGTCTGAACTGCCAGGAGACGGTGGATTGTAACGAGACGGCGTAGACGGTGCTTCAAACTGCCCTCCGCCCTCGCCATCACCACCTTCTCTTGTAGCCAGGATATTAGGCACAGTGAGCTCAGCTTATGCAGGCAGCACCAGAAAACCCCTTTCCACCAACTCATCCACCACCAGAGCCTTTCATTCTTTTTTTCCTAACTGTTTTGCCACTGTGAGACCGAAATGTTGCGCAATCTCAAATAAATCGTCTTTACGACACTGATCCAACTGCTCATATGAAGGACAGACTCAAAAAGACTCAAAATCGAAAAGTGCCATACTCAGCTAAAACTGCACACAACCGTACCAAATTATTTTAGCAATAAAAAACCACTTATAACCCCAGGAATTAAGTTATTTATCCCGGACGATCCCCCATGTATGTTACGTCCCCACTAGGGATGAGGAAGTGCAACACACACCCAATGGAGCCCCGCGCCCTGCCTGAAATTCAAGGTGTTTTTTGTTGTTGTTTTTTTTATTTAAAAAAAAAATATATATATATATATAGCACCAAATTGCAACTGAAGTAATCTATCTACGGTCACTTTTCACATTGAACATGTGCTCTTTTATTAAATAAAGTAAACTAAACGCCTATGTTATTTATCCAATCCAAGGCACGCAGCCTGAACAAACAAAAGGGCCAAAAAGGCGCCGACTTAACTAAGGAACAAACAAAGGAAGGACTCTAACAAAAAGGAGCCTGTGTACATACAAAGAAATAGATAATAATGAACTACATAGAAACTAAAACCCTCACTGTCAAAGTGGTACAGTCTAAAGAAGGGAAGCTGTAAGAAAACACAGCTGAGGCAAAGTACAACAGTCACACAACACTAAACTAATCGAGACACATCTAATCACAATAATACTGATCAACACGGACCACACAAGTTAACCTATTGTTTAACACATTCGCACACAAACTAGCCACTAGCGAGAGGCGTCTGTTCACCCAACAGAGCCTCCAGAGTGATGATTGTTCCCAGTCTTTGTAGTCATCTCCAACAGGTGTGCGCCGGCTGTGCGCTGCGATTGGAGTGCATCGGGCCCGGCGTGCTCCAATCACAATCTTCAGGGGGCGGACCAGGAGATGGCAGCCAATGACGTCAGGGCACCCGCACAGCTCATTTACATATAAGACAGATTAACACACTTAAAAGGACCAGGAAGGCAGCAGCCGTAACAATGTATAATTATAAAGTTGAATATATGGATTTTTTTTGTCTAATGCAGCTTTTTTTTTTTTTTTAAAGACTAATGGAGTATGTTTGAAAGGCAAGAAGCTCTGCATCGCTCAGGCTGTCCGCAAGCCCAGAGCCTCAGGACCACCACGTAAGTCGACTTTTTTATTAAGCATATTCACTTTTTTTGCCATCATTTCAAAAAGGTACATTTTTTATGGGAAACAGTTTTTTTTTACAACAGTAGGAACTCGAAAATAACTTGAATTCAGATACGTTTTTTTTAAATACATTTTGTGCATAAATATACATAGATAGAACATAAACAGAAAAAATAATACATTAATATACACATGCCAAATAAGAAATAAAAATATGACAATATTCTTATAAATATATTTAAGGTTGACATTCATTAAATTGGAATGATGTCTCATAATAATCTCCTATTTCTTTCTAACTTGAATGGAAAAGTTGACATGCTTTTGGGCATGTCAACTTTTCCATTATAAAAAAAGACTTTGACATGTTCACCCTCTGTTTCTGTTTTAGATGTTTTTTTTAAATATCCAAGGAGCTGAGTGCTGGCTTTTACAAATAGTTACTGTCCCACAAAACATGAAGAGTAAACTACTTCCTGCTTTCTTTTTTCTCTCAGCTAAGAGGACAACCCCTTGTTTCGCCGTGCCGATGAGCTGTGACAGCGAGTACCTGAACACATCTGCAGGGTTTCCATACACCTACAACAACGGAGTGGCCTACTTCTATCATCCATACTGCCCCAACATGAGCCCTCCTGCCCCCCAGTGGCCTGTCAGTAAACACTCATATCTAGGGTTGGGTATCGTTTGAATTGCCACGATTCTGATTCCGATTCTACTTTTCGATTCCGGTTTTTAACGGTTCTCAATTCCGATTCTTTGAGGGGCAGGGTAAAAAAATGATACATGCTTCTTCCACCAAAAAAATTACATTTATTCGAGAAACTTTTACACAGGTTAGTTTACAGTAATATTCACATTAATCAGTCTGTTTATATTCACTACTATGTAACTGTAACCTGAGAACCACTGAAGCTACAACAGTGCAACAGTCCAACTTTTAAAGGAACCCCCCCCCCATTTAAAAACAGTTCTTGTTGAGAAAAACAAGCATATCTGCCTTCTCAGGCATACCGGGAAGAAATGTTTGAAAATGTTAAAGTAAAATGCTTCAATCTGGTGCACTTTAAGCAGAATTACTAGAGACTAGATCTAGGGGGTACAACTCTAAACACCCATATTAAAAAGATCGGTTTACATTTTAATAATTAAATAAGTATTTGAACAGAACCAATAACCTACCATAGCCAATAACAAATACATGTAACGTATTTTATTTTTGTTGTTCATTCATATCTTATTTTACTATTTTATTTATGCATATTTTTGTATCTCTCCAGTTTAAAACGATATGTCTGGTTTACTGTCCTATAGTATACATTGGAATGATTTCAAACCTGTTTACCCCAATAATTATAAAGGAGTGCCTTGGAAATATGTGTTTACATAAATTGTGATCAAAACGTTTGAGACCCACTGAGATAACTTAGACTAAAGTGAACTATCTAAACACTCACAGTCCTTTACCTCACTGAGCTGTAGTTATCAGCCTCTCAGTCTGACTAGAGAGGACTCTCCCTCCACATCATTGTAGAAACATCTTCTTCTAATATCCGTTAGAGCAGCTAGCACCAGATGCTAATAACAACAGCGCTGGTACCGGTGCACCCTCCCTTTCTCCCTCGCTCGCTCCCATGCTCACTCGGACTTTGGCTGTGAGCTGCGGGTGCCAGATAAGCCAACATCCCCCATTTTCACTTACAGCGCCCATCGTACAGGGCAAATGAAAAGTGTAACTGGGATGAAAAGGGTGTTACATTTACTTAATTATGAATGTTGTTACATCAAGGCCGAAAATTAGGATGAGCACCAACGGTCAGAGCTGTCAGCGCAGCAACTCCACAGATCTGGCGCCCTAGGCGAACATCTATAACGCCAGTGCGACGGGCCGGCCCTGGTCCCAGCTTACGCTGTAGGAAGTGTAGGTACAACCCTACATTTCCCGCCCCGCCGCAGTCATACAGTAGGCTACGGAGAGCGGCGAGAAACATTTCCTCAGGCATCGAAAAGTGGAACCGAAATTCACATTTCTAAATGATGCCGTTGGAATCGAAATGTTGGAATCTCGGTACCCAACCCTACTCTTATCACACTTTACCTCAATAGCGTTTTTTAAAAGCAAGTTATTCAAAGTAAAGTGAATGTATTGGGTATTTAAAATTGTGCTTCACAGTTGGTAGAATAAGAAGATTTAACCTGCATTACATTTTTATGTACAGCATATGCGTTGTTGGAGGAGCATAAGACTCAATCATTTCCTAGCCAAAACTGAAGCTAGTGTGCATATGACAGATAAAGCCATTCAATCTTTATGATCTTTTTGAAGATTAATGTGTTATTTTCTTCTCTTGCAGCCTGCTCCTCCAGTGATGCTTCATCGGTCTCCTCAGCCCGTCTACCAGCAACCGGTCTATCACCAGCAACCGGTCTATCACCAGCAACCGGTCTATCACCAGCAACCGGTCTATCACCAGCAACCGGTCTATCACCAGCAACCGGTCTATCACCAGCAACCGGTCTATCACCAGCAACCGGTCTATCATCAGGAACCGGTCTATCACCAGCAACCGGTCTATCACCAGCAACCGGTCCATCACAAGCAACCGGTCTATCACCAGCAGCCGGTCTATCACGAGCAGCCGGTCCATCATGATCAGCCGGAACCGGTCCATCACGAGCATCCGGTCTATCACGAGCATCCGGTCTATCACCATGAACCGGTCCATCACGAGCAGTCGGTCCTTCACGAGCAACCGGTCCATCACCAGGAACCGGTCCATCACGAGCAGTCGGTCCTTCACGAGCAACCGGTCCATCACCAGGAACCGGTCCATCACGAGCAGCCGGTCCTTCACGAGCAACCGGTCCATCACCAGGAACCGGTCCTTCACGAGCAGTCGGTCCTTCACGAGCAGCTGGTCCTTCACGAGCAACCGGTCCATCACCAGGAACCGGTCCATCACGAGCAGCCGGTCCTTCACGAGCAACCGGTCCATCACCAGGAACCGGTCCTTCACGAGCAGCCGGTCCATCACGAGCAGCCGGTCCTTCACGAGCAACCGGTCCATCACCAGGAACCGGTCCTTCACGAGCAACCGGTCCATCACGAGCAGTCGGTCCTTCACGAGCAGCTGGTCTATCACCAGCAGCCGGTCCATCACGAGCAGCCGGTCCATCACCAGCAGCCGGTCTATCACCAGCAGCCGGTCTATCACCAGCAGTCGGTCCTTCACGAGCAGCTGGTCTATCACCAGCAGCCGGTCCATCACGAGCAGCCGGTCCATCACGAGCAGCCGGTCTATCACCAGCAGCCGGTCTATCACCAGCAGCCGGTCTATCACGAGCAGCCGGTCCATCACGAGCAGCCGGTCTATCACCAGCAGCCGGTCTATCACCAGCAGTCGGTCCTTCACGAGCAGCTGGTCTATCACCAGCAACCGGTCTATCACGAGCATCCGGTCCTTCACGAGCATCCGGTCTATCACCATGAACCGGTCCATCACGAGCAGTCGGTCCTTCACGAGCAGCTGGTCTATCACCAGCAACCGGTCTATCACGAGCAGTCGGTCCTTCACGAGCAGCTGGTCTATCACCAGCAACCGGTCTATCACGAGCATCCGGTCCTTCACGAGCATCCGGTCTATCACCATGAACCGGTCCATCACGAGCAGTCGGTCCTTCACGAGCAACCGGTCCATCACGAGCAGTCGGTCCTTCACGAGCAACCGGTCCATCACGAGCAGTCGGTCCTTCACGAGCAACCGGTCCATCACCAGGAACCGGTCCATCACGAGCAGTCCGGTCCTTCACGAGCAGCCGGTCCTTCACGAGCACCGGTCCATCACGAGCAGTCGGTCCTTCACGAGCAGCTGGTCTAATCACCAGCAGCCGGTCCATCACGAGCAGTCGGTCCTTCACGAGCAGCCGGTCCTTCACGAGCAACCGGTCCATCACGAGCAGCCGGTCCTTCACGAGCAACCGGTCCATCACGAGCAGCCGGTCCATCACCAGCAGCCGGTCCTTCACGAGCAGCTGGTCTATCACCAGCAGTCGGTCCTTCACGAGCAGCTGGTCCATCACCAGCAGCCGGTCTATCACCAGCAGTCGGTCCTTCACGAGCAGCTGGTCTATCACCAGCAGTCGGTCCTTCACGAGCAGCTGGTCTATCACCAGCAGCCGGTCTATCACGAGCAGCCGGTCCTTCACGAGCAGCTGGTCTATCACCAGCAGTCGGTCCTTCACGAGCAGCTGGTCTATCACGAGCAGCCGGTCCATCACGAGCAGCAGCTGGTCCATCACGAGCAGCAGCCGGTCCATCACGAGCAGCCGGTCCATCAGGAGTAACCGGTCTATCACCAGGAACCAGTCCATCACAAGCAGCCGGTCCATCAGGAGTAACCGGTCTATCACCAGCAGCCGGTCTATCACCAGCAGCCGGTCCATCACGAGCAGCAGGTCCATCACGAGTAACCGGTCTATCACCAGGAACCGGTCCATCACGAGCAGCTGGTCCATCACGAGCAGCCGGTCCATCACGAGCAGCAGGTCCATCACGAGCAACCGGTCCATCACGAGTAACCGGTCCATCACGAGCAACCGGTCCATCACAAGCAAGCCGGTCCATCACGAGCAGCCGGTCCATCACGAGTAACCGGTCCATCACGAGCAGCAGGTCCATCACGAGCAGCCGGTCCATCACGAGCAGCAGGTCCATCACGAGCAACCGGTCCATCACGAGTAACCGGTCCATCACGAGCAACCGGTCCATCACAAGCAAGCCGGTCCATCACGAGCAGCCGGTCCATCACGAGTAACCGGTCCATCACGAGCAGCTGGTCTATCACCAGCAGCCGGTCTATCACGAGCAGCAGGTCCATCACGAGCAGCCGGTCCATCACGAGCAGCAGGTCCATCACGAGCAACCGGTCCATCACGAGCAACCGGTCCATCACGAGCAACCGGTCCATCACAAGCAAGCCGGTCCATCACGAGCAGCCGGTCCATCACGAGCAACCGGTCCATCACGAGCAGCAGGTCCATCACGAGTACCGGTCTATCACCAGCAGCCGGTCCATCACGAGCAGTCGGTCCTTCACGAGCAGCCGGTCCTTCACGAGCAACCGGTCCATCACGAGCAGCCGGTCCTTCACGAGCAACCGGTCCATCACGAGCAGCCGGTCCATCACCAGCAGTCGGTCCTTCACGAGCAGCTGGTCTATCACCAGCAGTCGGTCCTTCACGAGCAGCTGGTCTATCACCAGCAGCCGGTCCATCACAAGCAGCCGGTCCATCACGAGCAGCAGGTCCATCACGAGCAGCAGCCGGTCCATCACGAGCAGCCGGTCCATCACGAGTAACCGGTCTATCACCAGGAACCAGTCCATCACAAGCAGCCGGTCCATCAGGAGTAACCGGTCCATCACCAGCAGCCGGTCTATCACCAGCAGCCGGTCCAACACGAGCAGCCGGTCCATCACGAGCAGCCGGTCCATCACGAGCAGCCGGTCCATCACGAGCAACCGGTCCATCACAAGCAAGCCGGTCCATCACGAGCAGCCGGTCCATCACGAGTAACCGGTCCATCACGAGCAGCCGGTCCATCACGAGCAGCAGGTCCATCACGAGCAGCAGGTCCATCACGAGCAGCCGGTCCATCACGAGCAGCAGGTCCATCACGAGCAACCGGTCCATCACGAGTAACAGCCGGTCCATCACAAGCAAGCCGGTCCATCACGAGCAACCGGTCCATCACGAGCAGCCGGTCCATCACGAGCAACCGGTCCATCACAAGCAAGCCGGTCCATCACGAGCAGCCGGTCCATCACGAGTAACCGGTCCATCACGAGCAGCCGGTCCATCACGAGCAACCGGTCCATCACAAGCAAGCCGGTCCATCACGAGCAGCCGGTCCATCACGAGCAGTCGGTCCTTCACGAGCAACCGGTCCATCACGAGCAGCCGGTCCTTCACGAGCAACCGGTCCATCACGAGCAGCCGGTCCATCACCAGCAGTCGGTCCTTCACGAGCAGCTGGTCTATCACCAGCAGTCGGTCCTTCACGAGCAGCTGGTCTAATCACCAGCAGCCGGTCCATCACGAGCAGCCGGTCCATCACGAGCAGCAGCTGGTCCATCACGAGCAGCAGCCGGTCCATCACGAGCAGCCGGTCCATCACGAGTAACCGGTCTATCACCAGGAACCAGTCCATCACAAGCAGCCGGTCCATCAGGAGTAACCGGTCCATCACCAGCAGCCGGTCTATCACCAGCAGCCGGTCCATCACGAGCAGCCGGTCCATCACGAGCAGCCGGTCCATCACGAGCAGGCCGGTCCATCACGAGCAGCAGGTCATCACGAGCAACCGGTCCATCACGAGCAGCCGGTCCATCACGAGTAACCGGTCTATCACCAGGAACCGGTCCATCACGAGCAGCCGGTCCATCACGAGCAGCCGGTCCATCACGAGCAGCCGGTCCATCACGAGCAGCCGGTCCATCACGAGCAGCAGGTCCATCACGAGCAACCGGTCCATCACGAGCAACCGGTCCATCACGAGCAGCCGGTCCATCACGAGTAACCGGTCCATCACGAGCAAGCCGGTCCATCACGAGCAGCCGGTCCATCACAAGCAAGCCGGGCCATCACGAGTAACCGGTCCATCACGAGCAGCCGGTCCATCACGAGCAACCGGTCCATCACAAGCAAGCCGGTCCATCACGAGCAGCCGGTCCATCACGAGTAACCGGTCCATCACGAGCAGCCGGTCCATCACGAGCAACCGGTCCATCACAAGCAAGCCGGTCCATCACGAGCAGCCGGTCCATCACGAGTAACCGGTCCATCACGAGCAGCCGGTCCATCACAAGCAAACCGGTCCATCACAAGCAAGCCGGTCCATCACGAGCAGCCGGTCCATCACGAGTAACCGGTCCATCACGAGCAGCCGGTCCATCACGAGCAGCAGGTCCATCACGAGCAACCGGTCCATCACGAGTAACCGGTCCATCACGAGCAGCCGGTCCATCACGAGCAACCGGTCCATCACGAGCAAGCCGGTCCATCACGAGCAGCCGGTCCATCACAAGCAAGCCGGTCCATCACGAGTAACCGGTCCATCACGAGCAGCCGGTCCATCACGAGCAGTCGGTCCTTCACGAGCAGCCGGTCCTTCACGAGCAGCCGGTCCATCACGAGCAGCCGGTCCTTCACGAGCAGCCGGTCCTTCACGAGCAACCGGTCCATCACGAGCAGGCCGGTCCATCACCAGCAGTCGGTCCTTCACGAGCAGCTGGTCTATCACCAGCAGTCGGTCCTTCACGAGCAGCTGGTCTATCACCAGCAGCCGGTCCATCACGAGCAGCCGGTCCATCACGAGCAGCAGCTGGTCCATCACGAGCAGCAGCCGGTCCATCACGAGCAGCCGGTCCATCACGAGTAACCGGTCTATCACCAGGAACCAGTCCATCACAAGCAGCCGGTCCATCAGGAGTAACCGGTCCATCACCAGCAGCCGGTCTATCACCAGCAGCCGGTCCAACACGAGCAGCCGGTCCATCACGAGCAGCCGGTCCATCACGAGCAGCCGGTCCATCACGAGCAGCCGGTCCATCACGAGCAACCGGTCCATAACAAGCAAGCCGGTCCATCACGAGCAGCCGGTCCATCACGAGTAACCGGTCCATCACGAGCAGCCGGTCCATCACGAGCAGCCGGTCCATCACGAGCAACCGGTCCATCACGAGTAACCGGTCCATCACGAGCAGCCGGTCCATCACGAGTAACCGGTCCATCACGAGCAAGCCGGTCCATCACGAGCAGTCGGTCCATCACAAGCAAGCCGGTCCATCACGAGTAACCGGTCCATCACGAGCAGCCGGTCCATCACGAGCAACCGGTCCATCACAAGCAAGCCGGTCCATCACGAGCAGCCGGTCCATCACGAGTAACCGGTCCATCACGAGCAGCAGGTCCATCACGAGTAACCGGTCTATCACCAGCAGCCGGTCCATCACGAGCAGTCGGTCCTTCACGAGCAGCCGGTCCTTCACGAGCAACCGGTCCATCACGAGCAGCCGGTCCTTCACGAGCAACCGGTCCATCACGAGCAGCCGGTCCATCACCAGCAGTCGGTCCTTCACGAGCAGCTGGTCTATCACCAGCAGTCGGTCCTTCACGAGCAGCTGGTCTATCACCAGCAGCCGGTCCATCACGAGCAGCCGGTCCTTCACGAGCAACCGGTCCATCACGAGCAGCCGGTCCATCACCAGCAGTCGGTCCTTCACGAGCAGCTGGTCTATCACCAGCAGTCGGTCCTTCACGAGCAGCTGGTCTATCACCAGCAGCCGGTCCATCACGAGCAGCCGGTCCATCACGAGCAGCAGCTGGTCCATCACGAGCAGCAGCCGGTCCATCACGAGCAGCCGGTCCATCACGAGTAACCGGTCTATCACCAGGAACCAGTCCATCACAAGCAGCCGGTCCATCAGGAGTAACCGGTCCATCACCAGCAGCCGGTCTATCACCAGCAGCCGGTCCATCACGAGCAGCCGGTCCATCACGAGCAGCCGGTCCATCACGAGCAGCCGGTCCATCACGAGCAGCAGGTCCATCACGAGCAACCGGTCCATCACGAGCAGCCGGTCCATCACGAGTAACCGGTCCATCACCAGCAACCGGTCCATCACGAGCAGCCGGTCCATCACGAGCAGCCGGTCCATCACGAGCAGCCGGTCCATCACGAGCAGCAGGTCCATCACGAGCAGCCGGTCCATCACGAGCAGCAGGTCCATCACGAGCAACCGGTCCATCACGAGTAACAGCCGGTCCATCACAAGCAAGCCGGTCCATCACAAGTAACCGGTCCATCACGAGCAGCCGGTCCATCACGAGCAACCGGTCCATCACAAGCAAGCCGGTCCATCACGAGCAGCCGGTCCATC